TACGAATTTCATCCCTAAAATTCTTTTTTTGATTCTCAATGGTTTAACATGGAGTGGCTCTGATACTACTTGTTGAAACTTTAAACTTCATAAAACTAGAAAACATGTTTGATGGATATTATTGAAGAAAGAATGTATTTTAAATAGTAATATGATGAGAAATATGTTGTTAAAAAGTAAGGAAAATTTATTGATGTGATGAAAAATATTATTTTATTGAAAAATGTGTGGTTAAAAATGAGTTTTGAAAGAATGTATTTTTGAAAAATGTGTGTCACAGGGGCCTAATTCTTTATTGCTAAGATCTTCCATGTCAAATCACCAAGAAAATTAATAGTGCGTAATGTACCTTAATTCTTTGGGAATATTTTATTATTATTGTATTTTGATTCCAAATCTTGAATCTTAATTATTGGTTCCTTTGATTCTTGAATTTTTTTATTTTGATTTTGATTTCTTGCTCCATAATAGTCTTGTTTTTTTATTTAATTGTTTCAATCCATTTTCTTGATTTTTGTCTTTTTCTCAATCTTTGTTCTTGATTGTGGGTTTTGGATCTTTCTCTTCAATATCTTTTCTCTTATATTCTTGTGTTGATGAGATGATACAAAGAATGTGAAGTTGTATATGAATTGGGGACCATAATCATATTTATAGTTTCAATATGTATTGGCTCATCGTCAAATACAACCCTAATGAATTATATCTCTACATATATAATCTGGCCCACACTTTATTTAGATGCACCAAGCCAAACAATTTAATTATTTATTATATCACTTTAATTGTGCTCAATTTTAAGATAGTCTTATACACAATTAATTACATATTTAGGCCCACATGACCAATTAATAAACCCAACATATTACACAACAATTAATTAATGATTAACGTTCAAATAAAAAGAAATATTTTCAACATAATTTAAGGGATTCAGACCATTCAGTTAATCTACTTATTATGCCTGATTTTCACATTTTTGAAAAAAAAAAAACCTACTAAAGTTTTATTAACTTTTCAATCGGTCAAATTTCAATTTTAACCACACATGTTATGGGATTTATATTTTTATCAATTTTTCAATCATATATTTCATAAGTTTTATCAAAATTTGTAAGACTTTTATCAAAAGTTTTGTCTAATGACACATAAAAATTAAAATATATAATTATTGTTCATTTATAACTAGGAAAAAAAATACTTAATAACATTAAGCAGTATATGTCTAGCATATTTGATTAATTTTACTTTTAAATTATTTATTTATTAATTTTAAACGTACTTATTACTACAAAGCTTATTTTCTGGAAACTAATTTCACAGCTTCAGCATAAGCTAAAAAAGTAGTATAGTTACTTTTAAATTCCTTTTTATTAGCAAAATTTAAGTAATTATGGAAGCAATTTTTTTATATATATTTTTTTTAAAATTAACTTTCGTGCTTGATGCTTAGTCCACATACACTCACTCATACTCGACTGATTGTACTTTTACGAAATTTCAATCTTTTTATCATCAACTAGATAGAGTTGTTTTAATTTTATGCACGGAAAAACTTAACTTGGATTGATCTATATATTTTAACGGAAATCCAATATCATTTTTTGAATTTAGATGTCTTGAGTTCTTTTCTATTGTACTCACTACACGCAGTTTGATATTACAGGAAGTGGATTTGTTTAGTTCGATACCGAAATGCTCACTCGGTCCCACTTCTCGGTCGACTAAATTCAAGTAACGTTCATGACTAGTACCGAGTAAAATTTCTACAAACTCGATCTTAGTTGACACTTTTTTTTAACTATGTTTAAAAATATCTTAATTTTCGTATTACTCAACTTTAGACCGGTCGTCTTGAATAAGATTACACAGCAAATCCTATATAATCGATGCATGTAGTTCGACCAAGTTCAACTGTTGCAAACACGGCTCTACGCCGTGTTTGGTTTGGCACATAAAGATTCAGAGGTAGAATATTCTTAAACCGAATCGGTGCAAAGGGCATGATGGTCATTTGCTTGTGAAAAAGATTACGGGTCAACGTTCCTCGATGGCGGCAGAGGAAAAGGAAAGTCGGTAATAATTGTTGTATTCAGTCTCTCTCTAAAACATATTTATTAGAAATAAACAAAGAACCCTTCAAGAATTCGAGATTGCAGAAGTGCCCACTTACTTCATTTATTTATTATTATGGACCACTATTTATTACTCTAACGTCATGTTGCTTCTTCTAGCACCAGTCATATAGCCCCTGTTTGTCTCCAAAACTTTTTTTTTCTACATATTCATTTTCAATCACACATTTACACAATAAAATATTTTATACGTAAATTCAATTTTTTTCTACTTTTTAACCACACATTCTCCAAAAAATTTATTATTCAAAACCAATTTTTCCAAAAAAAAAAGGGCCACCAAACAGGGGCTATACACTAAATATTTGTTTGAAGACTAAAAACATATTTGGTATAGATTTTTTAAATGAAAATAATTTTTCAGAGATTGTATGGTTGAATAGTGAGAGAAGTTGTGGGTCTTACAGAATATACGATTGAAAATAAGTTTGGAAAAAATAATTTTACAAAATTATGTGTCAAACAAGGAATCACTATATTTGTGATGAAGAGGACTAAAAATCTGTTTAAAAAAAATTTAATTAATTAATTAACATATATTAATTTCAAAGTCTTTTCAGTGCACCTTGCGAAGAAAAAATAAATCCACAGAAGCCTATTCAAAATCGAATGTACCAATCTAGCACGTCTTTGGTTATACTTCTAGATGTAATATATCTTGCTTACTATTCGAGTTGTAAGATAGCAATTTTTAAAGATACAATAGTATAATGAGAAATAATTTAAATGACACCCAATCCCATCAAGTACAAGCCCCTCAAATTAGAGGAGGAATTGAAAGATTCAAAAATTAAGTTAAAATCACAATTAATACGTAATTTTGAAAAACCATCCCAACAAAATGTAAGCCTTTCCATTTATCCCACTGCACATTTTTATTTCCTTTAGAATTTATATAGACTAGGGTGGTCATGGTTGGCATACTTTTTAAAGTTCATATTTTATGTTACCTAACTTGTTAGCAACAGATCATTTGCACCATAAATGTGATTAGACATGATCCGAAAATCGACTTGGCCAGAGTACTAGGTTATCAATCAGTGGTCGAACTGCTGAGTTATTGATCAGATTGGTGGGTCACTACTTAGAAAATTATTTAAATATTTCATAGTATTTATTAATTTTTTTTTTGCAAGAAAAAATTAAAGTTTTATTAATTATTTTTATATTTATAAATTATTGATATTATAAAATTCTTGTTACTATAATGTTAACATTTAATTTTTATAGTTTTTGTATATTCTAAATTCTTGTTATTATTATTGTAATTGTTATGTACAAACATTTTATTTGCTATCACAAAAAATTATATATATTAAAGTATTCAATTTTTATTGACTAGAAATTATTTCTCCATATATAACAAATCCATAAATTAATTATTTGATATAAAAAAAATTAGTGAAATGCAGTGTTCTATAAAAGTGTTTAGGTACAAAGTTCAGAATTGTGGTCTAGTTAGACTTTATGCCATTTTAGTTTTTACTCTTAGGCTTGCTTAAACTCATAAAAACTTGAAATTTAGTCTTACTTTTTAGACGCACCTTACTTTTTAGAACGCTGGTAAAATGGTAAAACTATAATTTCTTAAAAATATATTAAGATATCAATTGATGGTAACATAATGACAACACATCTTACTTGATTAAATGCAAGTCTTCAAGATTGAAAATTTGATTTTTTAAAACCGCGTAAAGTATACCCCTAGTTTTGCAAAAAACTAACTATTAACTCGAAATTTGATTGGGTTAGTGGCTGTCCCATCAACTTAGATAATCCATCCGTGGTCAAGGGCTTATTGCCGATTTTTCGATCTGTCCAATCAGAACATGTCGAATTTTATAACCATATTGCATACAAAATAATCTCCATTATAATAAGTTATAAATTACTATTCTTATTTTCTCTTTTACTAGGAAAAGGAAATCAAGAGTCAATGTTTAGTATATTCCCATCTTTATTATATTATGATTCTTGTGAAAATTAATATTTTTAGAGAATGTGTGGTTAAAAAATATGAAAAAAATATGAATTTACGTGTAAAATTATTTTATTCAAAGAATGTATTATTGAAATTAATTTATAAAATGAGTTTTATAGAATTTGTATCCAACAGAGGCTAAATGTATCTATCTTACCCTTTTAAATTTTAAAATCAAATCTAAATCTCAAACCAAACTCCAATTATTTTCATATAGAGAACCCATCAACTTGGGAATCAATTGTGAGTTTTCAAGACTTCATAGGCTCAACTGCAATTCAATTTAAAAATAAGGGCTGGAACTATGAATATAAAAAGTTAGCCGGAAAAGGCAATAGAAAATGGGAATGCTTTGAGAAGTGGAAAAATGATAGTGACGCATATTTTGGAATGATGTGAACGTCACGTCCTCTATCTCCGTAGATGCATAAATAAAGTAAGTACTAAAAACAATAAAGAAGGCTTTTTTAAAAACTATATAACCGGGACCCTTGAATTTTATGCAGAGACTTTTGAACGGGGAAGAAATATCTAGATTAAAAATCAAGTATATGATTTAGTTTCTCAAGAAATCATTTATTTTTTATATTAGTCAAAAAGATCCAATCTTTCAGCAGCTGGTTTTGCTCAGTCGTTTAAGCAGTCTTTAGTTTTCTGTGTCCTGGTTTTTTCTTCCTTTTTTTTTTTTTTCTCTGTCCTTTTTGGAGGTTTTTGTGAAAAGGGTTTATGGGGTTTGGTGTTCTTGATTATTAAAAGGTGTGTATTTTGCGTGTTCGATCTGTCTTCTAAAAGTTTCTGGGTAAGAAGGGGTTCGAGCATCAATTTTCTTTCAGTTGTTTTTTAAGATTTTTGATTCTAAAAATCCGAGGAGGTGATGGTGATTTATGTGTAGTACAACGGTTAAAGTTGGTGCTAAGGTTAATAGAAGTGTGACTGCTGGGAAACCAAGCTTCTTCATCTCTTCGACGCCAGTTTCCAATCACATGTAACTTTCTTTACAATTTTTTTTCATACCTTGAATATTTGCTCACTCTCCAGTTAGAAATTGAACTTTTTCTCATTTTCAAGTACGAAGTTTTGCAATATTTCCCCTTGTAATTATTATAATTATGTGGTTGACTGATAAAAAAAATAGAAAAATCATGGCTTCTACGTGAAATCTTGAATGTTAAATCGCGCATATATGTATTTATACTTGGAAGTTATATTTCCTATGTTCACCACTTTAGATTTCAGACAAACCCAAACTTTTCAGGAAAAAAAAAAAAAAAAAATTCTTATGACAATCGTACTCGAGAACTGATAAAAATTTTGAGATATACAGATTACTATTTTGTTAACCGTTTGGTAGTTTAATTGTGGCATGCAGGCAAGCAGAAACTAATACAATGCAATCTTCGCAAGCTAATGATTTTGGGGTCCTTGAGCAATATCTTGGATTCCAGATTGGAGATGCTGCTAATGTCAGTCGCAGTACGTTTCATAAATCTTGGCTTTGTCTACTGTTAGTTCTGATTTTCATGTTCTTTGTTCAGTGTTCTATCTTCATTAAGCATTGAAAGTTTCCACAATTTACAAAAAATAACATTTTGAGTTGTTGATTAATCGTTGATGGATGTGAATTACGAAGAATAGGTTGACAGAAAATGAAGGGTAGACTGAACCTTGATAGTGAAATAGTGAACTAGCTCTAATTAGATGAAATCTACTTTGTCACCTGTATTCTTATCTTTCTAAACATTACCATGGCATTTCCAAAAGGTCATGGCAAGTTTAAATCTTGATTTAGGCAGACTTATTACATATTGTCTCAAATCTTTAGGAGAGCGAAGTATAAGATTCGTGCAAGGTAATTTAGTACTAAAGTTTGATGACATAAACTCAGGCCAAGAAGGGCAAGACAAAAAGGTACAGGAAGGGGTGGGAGGGGAGGAAGCAATAAATTGGTCTAGCTGGAACCGTGAAAGCTCATGTTCTTGCAATTAAACATAAGCATAATTTTGAATTCCAACGGAATAACTTTCATTTGCAAACATGCTACTAGACAATTCTTATGATGTTAGTCTCTTCTGGTACATTTGAAGAGAAGTGAGGTACAGGACTCTCTTAGTTTAGACCATCTATTTAAATTATAGGTATGTACTGTTGCTATGAATCTAAGACCTTGACATGAATAGTCTATAAAGAGGTATTTTTGCATGCCTAGTGAGTGCATTTTTTCCCTAGTTGAGTCGGATTGACCAAGTCTCATTCCTGTTGTGATTTGTTCTCTCGTTTTATATCATCTGAACTGGTTATCCTAATATAGGTCCAGTGTTTAATCCAACTATAACTAGCCAATTGGTGGGTCCCAATCTCACATTTAATAAGGTAATTTGTCTTCTCTTTACTGTTATTGTTTCTCTTTCTTTGATTTGAATATTATTGTCGGTTTCTGATTCCTTTATCACTCTGGGTTATTTAGTCTCTTGCCTCTACCAGTACAAGTTTTTCCCCTTCTCTTCTGGGGTCTCAAGCAATGCAGTCACATCTGAATCCAGTTTCTGTATCTGGGGCTCAACATGAGAACTGGGAAGAGTCCAACAGGGCAGAATCCAGCTCCCATACAGATACTTCAACTGATGTGGATCCAGATGAAAAAAATCAACAGGTATTCTCTCTTTCAAATCCCGCTGTTCCTTTCTTTGGCTTCTAAGAGTGCGTTTTAGTACGCCTTTTCCTTACTTTAGTTACAAAACTTTCATAATTGAAGTTATTGCATCTCAATTTATGCTACTTTACTCAAATATGAAAGACCTTGGCTGAAAAAATGGTTGGAGAATTGAATTTATACATAAAAAGATTTCTCATTGCACTATTTTTGATGAACGGGTTTCTTCCTTGCACAGTTTGAAATGGGTCAATCCACTGCTGCTACAGCCTCTGGTTCCAGTGACAGATCAAAAGAAAAAAGCCTCGATCAGAAGGTCGTATCTTTAAACTAATCTTTTGATTCTTTTGTAAGTTCAAGGTCAATGTGTTTCTTGTCTTTCTTATGTTATATTATGACGTTCAGACACTTCGAAGACTTGCCCAAAATCGTGAAGCTGCTAGGAAAAGCCGACTGAGGAAAAAAGTAGGTGTCTGCATTGTTATTTAAGTTTCGACTGGTATTCTTCTTGTTTAATCTGTTCTTTTGCAAGGGACAAGATAATGTTATAGCATTGATGAGAACCTTGAATTAAATGATTATTATTTTTTTTTTTTTACTTTGCAGGCCTATGTACAGCAGCTGGAGAATAGCCGTCTGAAGCTAAGCCAACTAGAGCAGGAGCTGCAGCGGGCACGTCAACAGGTTCGATTAAATAGATGCACTATACATATTTTTGTTTCCTTTTAGACTGTATTCCCTACGAACTTGACAATTACCTTATTTTTCAGAAGTATTTTGTATTTCTTTAGTAAATTTAGTTATTGTTTGATGCAGGGTATATTCATCTCAAGCACAGGAGACCAATCTCATTCTGGAAGTAACAACGGTATGGTATTTTTTTAATGTATACTCTTGATTGTTCATTTTTTTTCTGAAACTTAGATGATAAAACCAGAGTGAAGATAAAATGAATTTTCAAATCATTACAATTTGCTTTAAAGATAGTCGACATAAATTAGCTGCAATACTATTGAAGAGGTAGAATTCGATGGCTTTTACATGGATGCTCGAGGTGCTGATTTCATCATTTTTTTCCAATTTCATGGCCATACAAATTTTAATATCAGAAAATTCCAATAGGTCAGGTCCACGTACTTTTTCTTTTGTTGATTTCAAATCTTTCCACTGGATTTGATTGTTATAGTGGGAAATGGGGTTTTTTTGGTGATAAAGACGTGTCTCCTAGAAAAAACGAATCCTGCATGGTAATCAGATGAAGAAGTTCTTGACAGGGAATGGTTGTACTTGGACATGGAAAATTATAAAATTTTACGGGCAATTGCGCACTGACTGTCCATGTTTTAGCCATTGCCTTTTATTTTTGCGCGTTAAATATTCATTACAAACAACAGTTAAAGTTATTATCAATGTTGTGAATTGATCAGCTTGTTTTCTTTTATTTTCTCTCTCTTATTTATTTGCTTTAATTTTTTGGGCTATTTCGTAATTATTTTTTTTATCTTTTATTATACAGGGGCCTTGGCGTTTGATGTGGAATATGGAAGGTGGTTGGAAGAGCAAAACAAACTGATTAATGAGCTGAGGACAACAGTCAATTCACATGCAAGTGACACTGAACTTCGTAATAATGTGGACAATGTGACTACACATTTCAATGAAATTTTCAGGTTGAAAGGGAATGCAGCCAAGGCAGATGTATTCCACATCTTGTCAGGAATGTGGAAAACACCTGCAGAAAGGTGCTTTATGTGGATTGGTGGTTTTCGTCCAACTGAACTTCTCAAGGTGTGTCTTTTGAATTGTATATACTGCTTTCTTTTGCCTGTTTGTTCTTTTTTTTTCCCCACTTCATTCGATATATCACTACTTTTGTCGAGATGTCCATTGGAATTAAATCTTTTGCAACCATATTAAGTTAATATTAATTCTTGTCTATCTTTCACTTCATATTGAGATCCATTTCTCGTGAAATAGTGTTTCTTTAAGTAGGCAATTCCTAACCATCTGACCTAGCCTCAAATGGTGTCACTACTATTCAATATTTTCACACATCCATATCAACATCCTTAGTTTTGCTACATTTATCATATGAACATATCCTTCTGCAATCTCCCATCTACCATCAGATCGAATTACCGGTCTAACAATTGTTAGATAGAACTTGTTTCTTTAACTTTATATCCATTTTCCAATCACTTTAGGATTTATTTACATTTATCTATGTTTGTAAGAAAAGCATAGTATCTATACATCAATATTAAGAGTAATTTGGTTTTTGGGCTGGCATTTTGAATGATAGGTTCCAACTTTATGCTAACTACACCCTAATGATGTTAGGCTACTGTTAGAAATATAACGATACCAATTTGCACCGATACCTCTTGTTATGATTTAAACAAGTATAATAATATGGCAATTTGAAAAATAGATTAAACAAGAACACAAGATTTACGTGATAAAAAAATACCACGGGCAGAAGGGAGAATTTTATTAATGCAAATTATTGTGTAGAATGTAAAGATTAATTCAATGTGTGTTGAACACCACATATATATAGTACTAGGATCCTTAACATACGAGGAATATAATATACAATGAAGGGTTTAATATAAGGTGAGGTTCCAATACACTGGGTAAAACTAATAATGGATATTTGGGATGAAATAGGAATTAAACGCTGTCCAAAATGCGAACAGAATATTCCTCAGACAAGACCTCCGCTCAAGCGGCGATCTTGGCGAGCGTAGAGCAGTGGCTGGCCTCTCTAGCGGCTGCCTCGCGGTAAGTGAGCACTGGTGCTCCTATTTTGAGCGCTCGAGCGGGATCAAGGTGCCAGGCAAGCGCCAGTTCAACGTTTGCTTCTCCAATTGCAAGTTGGACTCTTTTCAAGACCTCTTCAAGTCTTCTACAAACTCTCAAACTGAATTCCAACTTAAATTCCCAACTTGACTTTTAAGTAGAATTCTCAAGTAGTCTTCCAAAATGAATTTGGGCGACACCCTAAATCTAACATATACGGTTTGTTTTCAAGATTTTACACTGTTATTGTTGCATTATTCGTAGGTTTGTTGTTTAAGGCATCAATAATAGATCTTTCCCTTGGACGTATCTTCAATTCGTGCATTAGGTAACCAATTGGTCTTTTTAACTATATTATAAAGATTTTCCCACTGATATGACTCAAAAAGAATTTTGATATATGTATCCAAGACAGTATTTAAACGCTTTCACAACTTTTCTGTTTTCTGTTTTTTGATTGGCATTCAATCCCAATGCAGCTTATTGTGAATCAAATGGAGCCATGGACAGAGCAACAATTAGCACGGATCTATAATTTGCAGCAATTATCACAGCAAGCTGAAGATGCCCTTTCACAAGGTATGGATGCACTACAGCAGTCTCTAGCGGAAACATTGGCCAATGGATCATCTGTACCTGAAGGGTCAAATGTTGCTAATTATATGGGTCAGATGGCAATGGCCATGGGGAAATTGGGGACGCTTGACGATTTTCTGCATCAGGTAATATATCCTTTTCAATGAGTCGGCTGTACTTGTTCTCATTCCCTTTGTGCATTGCTTTTTTTTGTTTGTATTTTGTAATCGATTATATATTTATAAAAGAAAGTAGATGATGTAACTTGATCCTACACCTAATGAGTAGTGATTAGTCGTGATTTTCCGAACTGCTTGTGTTTTTCATATAGTATATGCAGTAGAAGAGGTATGAAACAGACCGGGCCACCGGCTGGGATCTTCAAGCTCGTGGGCTCATCTAATTTAGTAACTTCCATGAGAGCTTCGACTTATCTGAGTTTTCCTTTTGTTTTCAACACGGAAAGGACATATTCGTTTCTTGCATACATATAGGTCATTGTGTAAATCTTCACGTCCTGCATAAAATTAAATGGCATTTTGAAGCAAAATATGTAGGAGTTATGATAAAAGTTACTTAACTGAGTCTTTCTTTCTTGACATTGAGTAGGCAGACAACTTGAGGCAACAAACGTTACAGCAAATGCATCGTATCTTGACTGTCAGACAATCAGCGCGTGCGGTTCTCTTGTTACACGATTATTTTTCAAGGCTTCGAGCCCTGAGTTCTCTGTGGCTTGCAAGGCCACGCGAGTGATTAGCAGAAGATTGACACTAAGAAACGAAGATAAAGGAGAATATGCATTACCACTCCGTATGGGATGAATTCTATGCAACCAATGGCCATTGCCGGAGCCTGCAGTCCTTGTAAAATGCAGTAAGGTGGTTTCTTCCCTGTTAGTACATGTAATGTGTTTAGTAGTTAGATGTTTTATGCTATTTCTGTGTTCAGGAGAGAGAATCAATAGCATAATTGTGTTGTTTTTTACTATAGCCTAGGAGGGAAAATATCAGTTGAGTAGTGATAGTCATGTGTAAAGATATTTGATCCCAATAATATAACACAAGGAAAGTTTATTTAGGTGTTTCAATATTTTTTTCCCGTCCCTCTTCCCTTGTCTCGATGATATATAACTGCATGCTGTGTATTTGACATATTTCATTAGTTGAGGAAGGTACTCTTTCATGGTGGAAATAGAGTTAGTTTCTTAAGTTAAACTATACATGCTTCATTTATGTTGTCACAAACTTAAGTTGTATAGGTTACAGTATGGAACTTTACTTTGTTGGTTAAATATTCCGTTGGATGATACTTTACTCTCTTAACCAAAATAAGATGCACCAAAGATAATATTGTTGCTTACTACATACGACGCTTTATGATCGGGAAAGTATCTGAAGGACAGTTTCGAATGTTACTGGTCTAAGCAATTTCTATATGGAACTCTTTTGGCCAATAAATTCCTGAGATTCGCTATACGAATATAGGCTATATAGAGGGGTGGTTATTGTGCTTTTCTTGATTTTCTGGATTTTATGGGCTTGGTTGGTAGCTTATGAAATCTTTTGGAATTGCATTTTTGTGCTTATCCTTTTCTTTTTGTTATCTGGTTTTGTCTGATTACTTGGTCTTTTGAACCTTCTGCTTGTCTTTCTTGGATGGAAATATGGTGCTCCAGTCCTCAATTTCCAAAATAAAGCACAGGATTCCTCAATCATGTTTTTCTGGTTTTTTCGAACTTTCATTTTCAATGCAAGTTGGTCCACTGTGAATAACTGCTGTCAATTTTCATAAGTGAAATCAAGTATTCACTAGCAATGTCTGGTGGTAATGATTTTGAGTCATGCACTATTACACCCAAATCTAGATAGTGCAATGCATCTTTGGTAAGTTCTTCACCAAACGATATTGAGTTTTGTTAAGAATTAAAAACCTTAATGCGTAATACAAAATCATGTCGGCTCTATATTTACAAGAAAATTAAAATTATGGCAAAATCGAAATTATAAGTGAAATTCTTAAATTGTTCTTAATGAAATTTTGGTTCGAGAGACGGAGGAGGCTTCCTGCACATCTTTCAACCTTTATGGCAACCGTACTTGAAGGTCGATTTGAGTACGAATTTTACATAGACAATAATTGAACTTCATAACTTAATAATCTTCGACATTTTATACTCACCAGTGTCTGATGAGGCATTCACAATTTGGACATTGGTAGAAAACCGCAACTTATTACAGTCTATTGTTGCAAGACTGAATTTGCTGTTTTGAAGTTTCGTACCAAAATGTTTTATCTTCTTCACCATATACATGAGCTTGGTATAATCATTCATGCCTCAATAATACAATGGTAAAGGTAGGAGTGGCTATCAGATTTCACCAAACGATATTGAGTTTTGTTAAGAATTAAAAACCTTAATGCGTAATACAAAATCATGTCGGCTCTATATTTACAAGAAAATTAAAATTATGGCAAAATCGAAATTATAAGTGAAATTCTTAAATTATTCTTAATGAAATTTTGGTTCGAGAGACGGAGGAGGCTTCCTGCACATCTTTCAACCTTTATGGCAACCGTACTTGAAGGTCGATTTGAGTACGAATTTTACATAGACAATAATTGAACCTCATAACTTAATAATCTTCGACATTTTATACTCACCAGTGTTTGATGAGGCATTCACAATTTGGACATTGATAGAAAACTGCAACTTATTGCAGTCTATTGTTGCAAGACTGAATTTGCTGTTTTGAAGTTTCGTACCAAAATGTTTTATCTTCTTCACCATATACATGAGCTTGGTATAATCATTCATGCCTCAATAATACAATGGTAAAGGTAGGAGTGGCTATCAGAGTCGTCTCGTTTGAGCTCAGTCCTTAAGATACTCGGGCTCGAAGGAGTCCAAGCGCGAGCCGGACGACTGCTCGGGCGAGCGGCTTGGGACTCGTGTGGGAGGAAAATCAAATAGATGTGCGGACCCACGAGGCAAATGTAGAAGATAGCTTCACGCTTTGTCTTTTAAGGCATCGCATTCCATCGCATGTGCATTCCTACGCTTTCTTCTATTAATTCCCCCACTCCCCATGTGCTCTTGTCCCGCTTTTGCTTTCTCCCTTCGCCAACCATCCAGATCCCATCGTCTTTTTGCAATTTTCATTCTCGACTCTACCCACCTACCCTACCCTACCTTACCTTACTTGCCATGACGCCCACACACACTAATTTTGATCTTCAAATACTAACATTAATTAATCACATGCAATTATAAATCCAATCTTCAAAGCCTTAAAAACTTGATTGGGTTTTTCTTTTTAAATAATTGGTCTCTAAACTTATGAAATTCTCTAAATTGAGAAATAATCATTACTTGATATAGACATAAAATCAGCCAAATTGATATTTGTTTAAAATTAAACGAGAGTTAATTGAAAGTTAAACCTTGAGGGGTTGCTCAGTTGGTCAGGTCTTTGGTTTGCTCTCCAATGGTCACCAATTCGAGTCCCCTTAGGGTCATTGAAATGAGTATCCGACTGTAAACTTGAGGGACCCGTGGAATTAGTCGAGGTACGCGCAAACTGGCCAAAACATCCATGGTTATTAAAAAAAAAAAATGAAAGTTACCACAATCGTGTGAAACTCACAAAATGAGTGTCGTGAAATTAAAATTATAAGTCGAGTATGCATTTTTTAGATTGTTAATGTCATCTAATTCCAGACAATTTGTCACACAAACAATCTATTAGACATCTTAAAGAGTATTTCCAGTAGACTCGTTATTATTCTCATTTTCTCTATTTTAGAGAGTCAACTCTCTTTTCGAGGTTTCTAATACATTCTTTATCTTCTTACATGACAAATAATTTTATGAAAGAGAAAAATGTTTCAAATATAAAATTAACAAATAAATTTAGCCCCCGTCGTGGCCTTTTTTTTTTGGGGGGGGAAAAACGTTGCTTTAAATAGTGAAATTTTTGAAGAGTGTGTGGCTAAAAAGTTGCAAAAATTTTTGAGTTTAGTTATGTGTAGAATATTTTATTATATGAATGTGTGGTTGAAACTGAGTCTAGAAAAAATGAATTTTAAAAAAATGGGAGACAAAAGTGGGCTTATTAAGATACTGCTTGATGTAGACTTTTTAGAATATATATATTAAGAAAAATAAATTTTTTAAAGAATGTATGGTTAAAAATTAGGAAAAATTTATGGATGGACATACAAAATTATATTGTTTGAAAAATATACATCGTTAAAAATGAATTAAAAAAAAAAAAAATTTAAAGTCTCTATCAACCAAACAGCGGCTGAGAATGAGAGCACTCCAACTCCAACAATGCTAGATGAAATCCACGATACCTGAAGTTGTGATGTTTAGTAAACCTACGACTCCTGCCCCAGCCCCTTGATTAGATGACTCGGAAAGCAGATTATTTATGTTAAAAAATGAATAGTTTACTTATGAACTGGATACACTTTTTCACCAAGACATGAAATTTTCCTAAAAGAGTAGTATTGAGAATTATTTAAAATAATTATGTACTCCCAATTCAATTTTTATTCTTATTCGTGTATGTGGTTGCGTTGGACTTATTCTATTTTAAACAAGGAAAATTTGCAGTTGAGATTCCAAAACTTTCAAAAATCACGTTCTGCGTAGTTTCAAATCTTTAAATCGTAGCAATTACGTCACATAATCTTTCAATAAATGTATGGTGGAAGGGGATCTGGAAGGTTTCATTCTAAGGCTAGTTGTTGATCAAAATATCATCATTTGATATGCATTTAACCATTATATAGAAGGGCAAAATAATCAATAACATTTAATTAATTAAAATAATTTAAAAGAAAAATAGAAAACAAGAAAAAGAATACAATCATCTTCTTCGCCACCTCCCCCAAACCATCACATGCACATCTTCCATTGTCGACATCCGCCATCGCACCTCAAACTTAACGGCCCAACCCACCACAATTCCTCCCATGATGGACGGGAGCTACATTGTCCACTTGATACTTCAACTCCGATTCAAGATGGGCAAAAGACAAGCTTCAACACCAATAACTTCCCACCAAACAGTTGAAGTCAAGGATAGGACTTGGAAAAAATCAATCCAAATGGATCAAACCGACCAACCCAACCCAATCTAATCCAAATCGACTGATTTGGGTTGGTTTTTAAGTTCGATTGGGTTGATTTGAGTTGAAAAATCAAATTTGAGGTCAAGTTATGGTAGAACTCGGGTCATGAATTAAAATCTAAACCAATCCAATCTAATGAATTTTTTAAACAAAATACCTAAAATGAAAAACACAAATAGACACACTAGTGATAAAGGAGAAAGACTTAAAATGTACAAATGTCGATTTTTTTTTTTACTTAAGCTGGCTGACATGAATACTATGTACAAATGTAAAGTTATTTGATGATAAACTAAAATTTAAGGACATGATGATGACATAAATTAATCCCAAAAAAAATACTCCATATTTTCAAACTTATTTATACATTATGGATTTCAAGTGGATTCAAATTATAAAAAAATGTTCAAATTCAACAAAAAGGTAACCGGATTCAACTTGAATTAGGTCGTTGATTAGTTTGGATTGGGTTGGATGATTTTATTTTAGATCAAATCGATCATGTTGGGTTGGGTAAAAATCAGCACAACCCAAACCACACTCATCCCTAATCAAGGCTATTGCCGAGAGGAAGACTTTTATCGAGAGAAATGAAAAGTCCAAAAGATTGAGAACTAAGCATCTTTTTCGTCTTAAGTCAAGTTCAATTTACTTTTTCGATTCACAATATAGCAGCAATGACAGACAATATTCCCACAGTACAGAACTGGGTACTTGTAGAGCTTGAAACATGCATAAGATATATCATAAATGGAAGAATCATGCTATTTGACATCATCATATCCATCCATTTTAAAAACCTGTTTTCTACATCACATGCTATGATTTTGACAACACATGATTGTCAACTAACGTTGTACACTTAGATTTATTCTAAATGAAAACCTTATCAGGATGCGAATATTGGAATTGACTCGAAGGGTACAAATCTCCCATTTCGTCTAAGGCGCAACCTAGAAAGTTGGAACACGGCTCAAGATTGGCAACAGTATTTGGCGCGAAAGACTTGAATTTGAGAGAGGTAAAGCCCATGTTTGACAGTAATTCTTTCCCATTCTTTTTTTTTTTTTGTAATACTCATTTTAATCACACATTCTTAGAATAAAATAATTTTTACGTAAACCAAAAAAAAAATTCCTTACTTTTTAACCAAACATTCTCCCAAAATTTACTGTTCTTTCCCAAAAAAATATTCTTTCAAACAAGGGCTAAATTTGGGGAAGAAATTAACTATGGGGTGCAGTGGAGATGTGAAGGAGTTTCAATTGGCGGCGATTTTGTTGGCTGTGTGGGATTAGGGTTGGGTGGAATAGAGAAGACGAATGTTTTTAATTTTTTAATTTCTCTTTTAATTTATTTTAATTAATTAAATGGTAAAAGACCACTAATCCTATATTAAAATGAGTGAAATTAAGAAGAAACATTTGATTTTTTTTGTCGATTATATTTTTCTGGATGAAAATCGTTAGAGATCTTTCTGACGCATGTTTATTGAAAGGTTTAGGACATAGCTACTATAATTTTAGAGTTCGGACCGTACTACACATTTTTGGAAGGTTTAAAAATGGACTGCAAATTTCTTTTTAACAAATTTTCTTTTTGTGGTGTACATTTTGCATTTGCAACGGTAAATTGGGGCTACTTTCGTACATGGACCACAATGGTGTGTGCAGTGACCGTTAATCAAATGTGGCCGTTGGATATCAAATTACCATGGAGGGAAAGACTTGATAAAGTGTTAAACTTGTCTTATCCAATTCTATTGAATAATTAAAAAGAATAATTAAACAACTCAGCTCCAGAAATTTCTTCTTTTAAAACGTGTGCAGGCTCACGGTATCAGGATTTCTGCGTTACAGCTAATAATAACCTCAGAATACAAATGTTTTAATTAATCTCATTTAAACCCGCCTAAACCCCCTGTAATCTTCTTCTATATAAACGCAAATCCAGCCATGCTCTCTCTCTACAGCAAAACTGACAGTGATCTTTCATTCTCTCTCTATATATACTTACACTTCAAATCTCAATTGTTTATATTTATATATTTATACGCACATAGAGACAGGGAACAGCAATTCCTATAATTCAGCGTAATCTCCAAAAAATTGGGATTCTGTGAGCGTGTTTTGTGATCGAATGGGGAGTTATTATAACGGCGGTGGAGATACGGAACAGCAGCAAAGGCAGACGTTATCGGCTCCTTTGAAGGCGAAGAAGAAGTCGTCGGCGGCTTTATATCAAGCTGGTTCGGAGGTGGATGATATTGTTACCCTCTTACATGGCTCCGATCCGGTGCGTGTGGAGCTCACTCGCCTTGAGAATGAAGTCCGAGGTCTGTTTTCTATTCGAAGGTTTTTATTTTTCTGGAATCTTTTTTGTGATTTGTTTGTCTTTACCGAAATTTAAATGGAGACATGCAAACTGTGAGCTATAAAAAGATTGGACTGAAATGGTTGACGTTTAATTGGAGAATTGATATTGTTTAATTCTTAAGTATACGATGAAGAATGTTCTTCAGTTTCAGTGTGAATATGCTGAAATTTGAGAAACGTTGTCATATTTTTTTATAATGTTATCGTGTTTTAAATAATGTAATTACTAGTTATTTTGAAATTTTGTTATAATGACCTGAAATAATTACATACCTTTCCTGTTAAGATTCAGATTTTAAAGCTACCTTTGGAGTTGGGATGATTTGAGTTCTTGACTTCTGTAGATATCATATATGGAGAGGATTAAATGTGTGCTGTTGAAATTCCAATTCAAAATATTGATTCCATTGCAACTGACTTGGGACAACTGCATTTGTGTGATGGTGGTCGCAGGATATAGATTTTTTTATTTTTTATTTTCCTTTTTCTGTCTTTCCAATGGAATGAGAAAGGACGTGGAATTTGGGCAAGACTCCAAACAGATAGTGTCGTGTAGTATTGGCCTTAGAAGACAAATTTCCATCAAGAAAGGAAAGCTTGAAAGGAAAGCTTGAAAATAACAATTTGGACTGCATGTGGGCAGGGGCGGACTTATGAAGGGACGAGTGGGTGCCGTCGCCCCCACTAGATTTCAAATGCGGCTTTTTTAAATTCAAATTTTCAGATTTTTTTTGGTTTCTTTCCCAATTTATTTTAAATAATTTTTTACGTAATTGTGTTTCACACCTACTCAACCATAATCTTGGATCTGCCCCTGCATGTGGGTGTGCTAATGAGTTAACAATAAAACAAATTTATTGGTCCCTCTCCACTTGCCCTCATAATGGACTAGGCACATCATTTCCCATTTTAAAGAGGTGTCATGGTTCTCTTTTCAAGCATCCTTGTATTTACTATTCTTTGAGATTTATAGTTTGGCCTTGTTCAGTACGGTGTCAGTGGCCCAGGCTAGTCTTATACCATTTTTTATGGTAGACATTATTGATTCATAAAACCAATTTGTTCCCTTTCAGTTATCACCCAGGTGTGGCCTTGGAATTATGAAACTAAAATTCTAGAAAATATTAAAATTTACAACCATCTTGGGTTTGGTTGGTGGCAAAAACTGAGAAAAATCACCCGGTTAAATATGCAGTTTTTAAATGTGTAATAATACCTGTTCTTTGGCTATCCGTTGTTCTCAGGTGTCATAAGGCGTTTTTAGGTTTTCACAACTTTGCCCATCAGATGTGGAGCGTGTGTCTAAATAAATAAAACAGAAACTGCAAAACTTATGTTGAATAAATACAGAGATAAAAAGTTACCTACAAGAATAAGTAATTTGTTTTTTCCTTAACGCCTAGCAGTTCAATCTTCTCTTCAATGCTTTTGGTCAACTAGTTGCTTCGTCTGTTGGCCTATCTAAAGGCACGTTATGGTACGTTGAAGAATATTGTGTTTCAGTCAAATTTTTTTCTTCTTCAGTACAATATAATTGGAACTACCTCTGCCCTTACATGAATTTCGGTGATGCTTTTATTAATGTAACTTTGTGGCTATTTAAGTTGTGCACTGAAATTATCTAAAGGCTGAAGTAGCAAGCAGCCCCTTGATAAAGTGGAAAGAGCCTCACGAAAAATCTTTGTTTAATTTTGCTTTTTAGAACTAAAAGTAAAAATTTACAATTAAATAGACTTTTCATTAAAATAAGTTTCAAAATGTGCAGATAAAGGTAGAGCACTGGGAGAGGCTAATGCAGAAATAAAGGCTTTGAAATACTCTGAACGCCTTAGAGAGAAGGCAGTTGAAGAGGTACATCAATTTAAATCCCTCTGTTTACTGGTTCAAATGCTTTGAAGTGTCACTTTACTCATATTGTCTTTTGTTATTTAAATCTCCCTATTTACTTCTTTACTCATATTGTCTTTTGTTATTTAAATCTCCCTATTTACTTGTTTTAGCTATTTGTTTTGTGGTGAATTGATTATACATATAAGTAAATCGAATATAGATCCAGAAAAGCTTGTTTACTATTTCTTCATGTTAATTCTCTTTCAGCTAAGAGATGAGCTAAATAAAGTAGATGAAAAGCTAAAAGCCACAGAAGCTCTCCTTGAAAGCAAGGTATATGTCAGGTTGTTTAAATTTTAATGAATTGGCTTTCGATCGCTATTTTGAGCTCCTTCCCTTCGACATCTTTCTAAAATGAAAAAGCGACATTGGACTTTGAGATTTGAAATAAATGCTGATAATGTAATTTTGAGTTACTTAAAATATTTCAGAATCTAGAGAATAAGAAAATAAATGAAGAGAAAAAAGCAACTCTGGCCGCACAATATGCTGCAGAAGCCACACTTCGAAGGGTGCATGCTGCCCAGAAAGATGACGAGATGCCACCGATCGAGGCAATAATAGCACCATTGGAGGCTGAGTTGAAGCTGGCAAGGTTGGAGGTACTTGTCAACTTCATGACATTTCCTTCTGCAATTTGAATGCTAAGTCAAACTTTACAGCGGAGGATCAATAAGCTTTTAGTTTATCAATTAATTGCTTTGCTTGAACTTATATTTTCATTAGGTAGCAAAGCTACAAGATGATAACAAAGCGCTTGATCGGCTTACTAAATCTAAAGAGGCTGCTCTACTGGAAGCAGAACATTCAGTTCAGATGGCTTTAGCAAAAGCTTCCTTGGTTGATGATCTCCAGAACACAAACCAAGAGCTGATGAAACAGATTGAGATATGCCAGGTTACCTGTTTTAGTGCCTTTCCTGTTTAGATGAAAGCATGCAAAATAGTTAATGGCTGCTGCTCTAGATTCTTACGCTACAAAAATTGATTTTATTTAGGAGGAGAACAAAATATTGGACAAAATGCATAGGCAAAAGGTTTCTGAGGTTGAAAAGCTAACTCAAACTGTTCGTGAGCTCGAGGAGGCTGTTTTGGCTGGTGGCGCTGCAGCCAATGCCGTACGTGATTACCAGCGGAAAGTGCAAGAAATAAATGTACAAGGATAATTCTTGTTTTTAATACCATACCTATTGATAGGATGAACCTTTCTTAAGGCGTCAAAGCTTATGCAGGAAGAGAAAAGGATTCTAGACCGTGAACTAGCTCGGGCTAAGGTTTCCGCAAATCGTGTTGCTGTTGTTGTTGCAAATGATTGGAAAGATGCCAATGACAAAGTAATGCCAGTAAAGCAGTGGCTTGAAGAAAGAAAGTTCTATCAGGCACGTTTTATCATTTTCACTTTAAATGTTCTCTGAAATTTGATACTTCTATTATTAACTGTTACAATAATTAAGACTGAAAAACAACTCACACAGATGTCAAGGAACTCCAACAACATTGAATCATCTTTTTGGTTTTGTCCCGAGATGAACTAGCGGGGAATTTAAATGTTATTAAACAAGAATTAGGTTGTTCTATAGTTATGATAAAAATCTTCTTGTAATCCGTAATCCTATATGTCATATTGAATTGCATAGATCGCTCAGACATTAGGTCCTACTTGCAGATAATTTAGCTTCAAGGCTTTATTGTAAAATTATCGCTTCTTGGCTAGGTTACTTTCTACATTTGCAACTTAATAATAGCACGAGAAGTGAACTATCTATCATATTACAGATTCCATTTTAGTCCTCTGTCCCAAGTTTAACGACTTAGTAACTTCCAAATGGTGTTTTGTTTTATCTGATATGATAGCTAATATATGGCATGAAGTGATTTGTAGGATCATTTGTTTTTAAAGTGAAATTGCCTTAAACTAATGCAAAAGACGTGTATGTTTCATGAAATTGGAGATTGATATTGACTCCAGATGAAAATGTAATCCAGAAATGGGTGAAGTAGAGACAATAGTTTCAGCCACCATCTAATCATTTCAATTTTCTGGATAACCTTCGCAGGGAGAAATGAACCAACTGAAAGATAAGCTGGCAATTGCAGAGCGTGCAGCTAAGTCAGAAGCACAGTTAAAGGTGAGGAAACAGATTTTGATTCCCATAACTGTTGTTTCTAATGTTCATCTGATCTAAATATCCTCTCTGTTTATTTGTTGCTTAGGAAAAATACCTATTACGATTTAAAGTTTTAGAGGAAAGGCTTAAAGCATGTCAAAATGGTACTTCCCGTGTGTCATTACGTGGAGGAAATGTAAGCAATGGGACCTCAAGAAGGCAGTCTTTTGGAGGAGCAGAAAATTTGACCAGGACATCCTCCAATGGGTTTCTATCTAAAAAAGCAAATTTTCAATCTGGGTTATCCCGGACAAGTAGTGCTTATGCACAGCAGGCAAAGAATTTGTCAAGCTCATGTGATGGTGGTAGTGGACCAGCAGTAGACGAGAAAGATAATCAACCAAACAGTGTCATCAAAGAAACTCAAACTAATGGAAGGATTACTTCCCTGGAGAATGGGGATGAGAGTACTTCCAGTGTAAAATTGAAAATGGAAAATGAAGACTACGTTTCTGGAACATTGTACGATATGCTGCAGAAGGAGGTTTTAACTCTGCAAAAATCTTGCCATGACAAAGATCAAAGCCTCAAAGATAAAGATGACGCAATCGAGGTTTGCTCCTGCATTCTTTGTTGTATTTTTTGTATGAACTAATCCCCTCTGATTCTTTCTCTGTCCTTTGAGTGATGAGCTTTTTTGGTGTGGAAATCATTCAGGCTTTGGCAAAAAAGGTTGAAACATTGAACAAGGCAATGGAAGTTGAGGCCAAGAAAATGCGAAGAGAAGTAGCTTCTATGGAGAAGGAAATTGTAGCGATGCGCAATGGCAAAGAACAAGATCAAAGAAACAGACGTGTTGGTTCTGTCAGAGGAGCCGTCAATGGTTCTCATTCACTTTTAGTGAGGTGAATAAGTTCAGGCTTCGACAATCTATATTATATTAACATTGTCCTAGTTTTTGATAATTGGTCTAAAAATCTTATTAGTAGTGACGTGTTCCACGCCTAGGGAAAGTTTTGGGGTTTATAAGTTTGTGTGATTGACCAAAGAAATTAGTATTTGTAATGTCAAAATAAAATTTCTGGTTTATATGATCATGTGACATGAGCAATTGTGTGTTTGGCTTGTGTTTGCTTTTGGCTTTGGCTTGTCTCATTTATGTTCATGTTTGATAAAGAAAGGAAATGAAAAAGACAATGAGGTCTGAACCCTGTGAATGGACAGCCCTGTTTTTTGTTATTGTTTTGGTTATACTTATCGGCACTTCTATGCCTAAATTCCCTAACCCCGATACTTGGTGAAGAGTACAAATAGAGAAAAGTTCATGCAACGAATTCTCAGTACCTAACAACCTGTTTTTGCTAGTCAAACAAAAGTAGCAGCTGATGGGATGATGTGAGGAACATATTTGACAACACTTTTGCCATTGTCAAATCTCTACTTCGTGCATATATGCATCTTTAATTTGAATTCTAAATACTGATGAAATGAACTGGACAGAACCTCAGAATGCGAACATTGCTCGAAGTCCTTTATCCCTTGAAATGATCTTTGTCTATATGGTACATATAAAAACACTTGGAACTCAAAAGCATGAATTGCTAGTTTGCTACTAATTCACTCAAAAGTATTTCCCACATAACACCTCATTCTTACTCACAAGAATATTTTGTGTTGAGATGATATCATAGAAACTAGAAATGGGTAATCATATTTGAAATTACATACATATGTACGTGTATGTACATACATACATACATACATTTATATGATCATGGTCATGCATAACCTACCCGCATCTTAATATCTTATCATGATTCTTGCTATTATATTATGAGTCACACTGTGCATTTTATGCCAAAAAAGAATATGTTGTATACTGCCAGGACTACTTGAAAAAAAGAAAAAGAAAAAACCCACCTAGTAAGTATTACTGGAAAGAGTTACTGGATTTGTAGGAAAGATATTAGAGGGCAAAAAGTATAAAAAGATGTTACACTGTTTATAATCCTAGGGAATATAATCTTTGCTTCAATTTATGAATTGTTGTGTTCATTGTCCTGAAGAACTGAATGATGACACAATTGCACTTCTACATTAACCGTTTACATTTGCTTGATTTTTCAGGAATGGCCGGCCTCCATAGGCTCCTGAGGTTTAAACTACCGTACAATGGCGATGACATCTTGTTAGTTTAGTAAGCCTTGACTGCACAGAATTTATCCCCTTCCTCTCCACTGTCATCTTGTAGGCAAATTGGTAAAGCATTATAGTTGTTTCGGGACATAATCTTCATCTTGTATATTTGGCTTAATACATAAAATCCTCTCAAATATTAGTTTCGACTTTGTTTCAGTAGATATTGGAAAGGTAAAAGAAAGCTCAGTGTAAGTTACAGAAAGAAATTTTGACTTTGAGATTACTTTTTAAAGATTAACATTGTGGTCTTGTGGATTTGTGTAGTGGTGAAATTTTTTGTTCTAAGATTTGCTGGGACAATTTTTCCGCAGGTAAATTCTGCAGACGCGATGATCAAAGTTTAGTGTGTTTCTGTTACGTTGTGTAAATTTTCTTTTCAATTCTGGAATAAGAATTTTAGGAGGAAGAGGAATCATCTATTTCTATGATTCTAACAAGTAGAAAAATGTTTGAAGTGCCTTTTTTTGCTTTTACCCTAGTGTAGGGTAAAGGAAAGGTTGAAAAATAAATTGAAATTAATTGAAATTCTAACATATTGATAGAAATGATAGCATTTTGGTAGATGAGATGAGTTGAAATAATTCAAATATAAACAATTTTAAAATGATTGAAATAATTACATGGAATGCATATAAAAATAGTCTTAGTGGGTGTTTGACATCCATTCTTTTGAAGAATGAGTTTTTGAATAGTGATTGATGTAAAGAATGTGTGGTTAAAAAGTAAGAAGAATTTTTGGGTTTATTTGTAATATTATTTTATTTGGAGAATGTGTGGTTAGAAATGAGTATTGTAGAAAAATGAGAATGAGATAAAAAATGGGTGTCAAACGGGGACTTAAGTTAATAAATAAAATATAGTCTAGTTGTTAGTCTATTGAATAATAATTAAAATATCATCTTTCCTTTA